ATATATATAATTAGTATAACAATGTAATATGAGGGCTTTCCTATACAACTCCCCTGATTTCTCATTAATATGTGTTACTGGCAGGATGACCAGGTGAAGAAGTCTGCAAAAAAAACGAATGCAGGCCGCTCATCTGAAGACAGGTAACCTGCAATAGGTGACATTTGTGTTCTTGGGTTTAGATCCACTTTAATTTCTATCCTGTTGTATTAGCAAACCCCCCAAATAAAAGAAAGTCCAGGAAAGAGAAGAAGTCTGCAAAAAAAACGAATGCAGGCCGCTCATCTGAAGACAGGTAACCTGCAATAGGTGACATTTGTGTTCTTGGGTTTAGATCCACTTTAATTTCTATCCTGTTGTATTAGCAAACCCCCCAAATAAAAGAAAGTCCAGGAAAGGACCCACACGCAAACACAGAGCTTTTGTTTTATCAAAGCAAAACATTTTTTATTACAAATTTTAGTTTTAATGCTTCCATGAGAAATATATAAATCCCAAAATATACAAAGTTTCATACTGAAATAGAATATCTTGTACAGTCTCTCTCATGAATAGAAAAAACATTTGATATCTTTAACAGATTACACAGTTCACGGCCGAATTACAGAGGATTGCATCAGGTGTTAGAAGGAAAACATCTGCATCGGCCATGCTTTTACACTATTGCATCACTGTGGGGAGAACAAATCATCACTCCCCCCCCCTTTCTTTTCTTTTTTGTTAAATAACACTATTACAAAGCTGAAGACTGGAATTTAAAATAAAAATGCTTTTGTCCTACAAACCTCGGCTCTAAAAAAAAACGCTGCTGGGAGACGGTTGGGTGTCACTCTGCCGCACCTAGAAGCCCCTGGCTGCTGAGGAACTACAAGTCCCAGCGAGTTTCCTTTAGTCCCTCGGCATCAGAAAGCCCGTGGCGTGCGGAGGAGGAGGTTTCTGCAGCTTCGACACAGCTGGGAGGTAGTCGTTGTCACAAGTGTCATTTTTTTATAAAATGGGCCGATTTGGTAAAGCTGTGAAAGTGCAAACGGTGACAACGTGCCGCAAGTGGCACGCAAAGGTCGCCCAGCTGTCACCTTTTGTTCCACAATCAGTAGAGCTGGATGGCTGATCACCAAAGGGTTACTGCACTTTGCTCTGTAACCAAAGCCACAGTGTTGCAACTGTGTGCATGTCACTTGCGCAATGTCACCGTCCTGCAACCTGTATGGACCCTTCGGATTCTTGCGTAACCTCCCCCCATCAATAAAGCAATAGCACATCCCCCGCCCCCCAACACCTGTCTCCCATGGGACAACGGGCCCTAATATATCAATCTTACAGCCATGCATTTAAAGGGTTAGTCCACTCAGAATGGACATTTTAGATTCTGATAAACTACCCAACTGTTTCTTATATCTCTCAGGGACTCGTGAGGGGGATCTGCTGTGAGTTCTGACCACAGAAGGGTGACGATTGTTCCTGCAGAATTCTGTATTATGGAGGAACATCCTAAGGTGGCCGGGAACACACTCAAAATTCCAAAACCAGATATCTCCCCCCCACTGGATTCCTTCAGAGATATAATAAACCAGATAAGTAAATCAACCCAACAACATCCACCTACAGATAAAAGATATCACTTCCGGGAAGGAGAACCATTTAAATGCAAAAAAAAAATATATATATATCTATATCAAAAAATCTTCAGTCCCTTTTGAACAAATAAAAAAAGTGCCCACTTACGTCCTAAATGCTCATTAGAATTGTGCAATCAATCAGCTGGATTTAACAGTCTTTAAGTGCCGGTTAGAGAGAAGAGGGGCCACCGGTCTGGTGCCGATGTTTGCCGCCGCGTACCTTGTGTCTTTATGTGCAAGTTTGGATTATCTTAGAAGAATATGGGGAAGCCTAGACCATGCTTGAT